CTTTGGCAGGGGGACAGCAACAGCCAGCATCACTGTCCTGTCACTGCAACCCCATTGCCCGTCTCCTGCCATCCTGCGGGCACAGGGTGCCAACCCTGGGTGACCTCATTGCCACCCAGCAGCTGGGGGAGGGATGTCCCCTCACATTTAGCCCTGGCAGGAGGGCAACGCTGGCCCCCTCCCGGCCAGCCGCCTGCCCACCCCAGGTCCTGGGGGAAGGATGCTCCCTCCTCATGCCCTTTGCCTGTGCCGTGGCTGCCAGGCATGGCCGTAGGTGGCCCCAGGCCAGAGGTGTGCGTGCCTCCAGCCTGGGCTCAAGGTGTGTGTGTCTCCCGGCCTGGCACCAGCGGAGGAGGACAAGTGAAAACACTGCGGCCAGTGGGGTGTGAGGAGGTTATCTGGGGCCCGGCAGTGGAAAAACTCTCAGTGTGTGACTAAGGCACGATAGCAGCAGGTGTGGGTCCAGTCAGGGTGAGCGAGCCGCGGAGTTATCGCTTCCCCATGGGTTCAGGTGCCTGAAGCCAAATGTTTCCTAAGGGTGCGGTGACAGCCACAGCCCCGTTATCACGGCGCCTGGCCCACCCCAAGCGGCGGGGACGTGGGGACAGGTTGCTGGACCTTCCACCCCCATGGCAGGGATGGGACACTAACCACCGCCCCGCTGGGAGGGGGGACACCCGCCCTGGGAGCATCCTCCAGCAGGGATGCCCCATCCCTGGGGACCCGAGCTCCTGCCTTGTGTTGTGGCAAGGAAAGGTCTGTGTCAGCCCCTCCAAGCACCCCCAAATCATGCCTCCCACCCCAGAGCACCCAGGCTGTGTCCCACTTCCAGCACCCACATCCCCTCCCCAGCTCCATGCCGTCCCCGTGGACCACAGCAACCCCAGGGTCAAGCCCTGGGCAAGGAGCCCTCCCAGACCTTCAACTCCCCTTCTCCCCATGGCCTCGCATCCCCAGGACGGCTCTGTGGGACCCGTTGGCTGCAGCACGGGGGACCCCCACAAGCTGGGTCACCCCCAGAGGACAGAAACCCACCTGAGCTGCTCTTTTGCCCCCCCTCCAGCCATGAAACCCCCAGGGCCCCACTCCTGCTGGCAGGTGACTGCAGGGTGCCACGCCATGCTGCGGCCATGACTCACCCCTCTGCCAGGAGGTGTTTCTCCATACCTCGTTCCTTCCCTTCCCCACTTGCCTCCCCGCTGTGCCAGTTCAGTTGGGCCCCAAAGTCGCAGGGTTGAGCTTTAAGGTTTGCAGGGGGGCTCAGGGGCTTGCGGACCTCTGCATCACCCACCACCACAGCTCCCAGGGACCTTTTTGCCAGGAGGTGAGCAAGCAGAGAAAGGAAGACCAGGCTGGCAGGCAAGATATGTCCCAGAGCGGGGTCTGCATGGCCCAGTGTGAGCATGGTGGCATGGGCACGGCAGCATCGCCCTGCCAGACAATTTTCACTCTGCACCATCACTGCAGCAGCTCAGTGTGTGATCCAGGACACCAAGACCTGCCCCACGCTGGGCCAGCCACGGACCCAGGGGTTGTACGTGGGTAGATCAGCCCTTCAGGAACCAGCCTGGCTTCTCCGGAGCACCCCCCTCTCCTCTGGCACAGGACACACCGTTAGTGCCACATCTCCCACAAAGCAGGGTCCCACCCAGTTGACTGGCACATTTTGGGTCCCCACGTGCCCCTGCCAGGCTGGGGCAAAGCTCTTTCCAGCTGATAGCGGGTGCACGGACCACAGGCAGGGATTGTGCCCCAGCCCTGCCTTCCTCAGCACAGCCCAGGGTATTTTCTTGCTGCTCTCATCACTTTGCAGGGCAGGTTTTGCTGGGGATGGGACTGGGCTCCCTCCTCCAACAGAGAGTGCATCTTGGCCCAGGCAATTGGAAGAGGGTGTTTTTTATTAACAACAAATTAACTGTAATTGCCATTTCCACTACAGCCACTCCTCGTCCAGGCAAGATTCCCAGCCATGCTGGTCCTTGCCACCGTTGTGCCCCATCTTGTGCCCGAAGGAGCGCCTTGCCCCTGGCCTGGGGGAACAAACATGGAGCGGCTCTGCCCAGAGAAGGAGCCAAAACGCCTTCCCCTGCTCTCTCCTCCATGTAAGGCAGCAGCAGCAAAGCCAGGCCTCGCTCCCGCCCCAGCGCAGCGATGATGAAAGGTGAGGAAGAACTGGTTTGTGCTCTGATCTCAGAGCTGAACCTCAAAACAGCCGCGGACCGTCACTCCGGCTCCCAGGATGCTTAGGGAGGACAGGACAGCAGAGCCAGCCTTTCCAGTGGAACGGGATGGTTGGAGAAATTCATCGTTCCCCTGGAAATAAAAATAATAATCATAATAAAAACACAAAGCCAGAGATTACTTATACGCACACAAACACGCAGGCACGCACTCTCTCCCCATCTGGCTTTGCCAGCCTGACTCATCGCTAATTCAAACAGCCCACACCTTTCCCTCTTCTTCCATGTGACGTTTTGAACGAGTCTCCGGGGAAGAGGCAGCAGTTTTGATCCAGCCACCCCACCAGCATCAGACCCTCGCCCTTGGGTACCAGGGGTCCCAGGAGCAAGACACCCCCGGTAATCCATCACAGGTCACTTGTGTCCCAGCGTGGTCACCCCCATGCAGGCACCTCTCAGAAAGTGGGGCAAGCAGAGGGCGGAGGCAGCTGTGGAAAGGACAGGTGATTGAGCCTGGTGGATCTGTGACACCTGTGGATGCAGTCCCATGGTCCCATGCCCAGGCCTGCAGGCAGGACACAAGGTCCCAAGTTGCTGCCACCCTGCCTGGAGACACCCACGCTGTCGTACCTGCTCAGGGCAGACCCCGTCGGCCCCAGGACACTCAGCCTGACCCCAAAACACTAGCCACCCCTCAGCGAGGCATCAGTCCCACTCTGCCATTTCTATCTCTTTTTCCACCTCGACTCTCTGCAGCTGCAAGCAGGAAACAGGGAAGGAGCGGGATCAGCCCTGCCCAGCCCATGCTGGCAGCACAGCTACATCCCATTTCCTCTTGCGGGGCAAGGAGCCCCAGGGCATCCCCCAGCCCTGGCCATCCGCCGGGGCTTGCGGCAGTGAACACGGGAGGAAGAAGCCACCACCACCCTGGGCCAGGGCACCGCTCAGCCCATACGGCACACTCCCTGCGCTGCCAGCATGGTGTCAGGTCCAGACAAGCCCTGGCCTTCAGAGGGATGCGTGCATCACGGGTAATCAGCCGTGGGAGGGAGGGAGGGAGGGAGCCAGACCTGCTTGCTGAGCTTGGGACCTGCCAGCACACTTGTGCTGAGTCACCACCTATTAACGCAGGGAAACCTCAGCACCCGAACCCCACCAAGCTGCCGGGCCACCTCAGGGAGGACAGCACACAGGGCCAGGCAGCTGCCACTGATCTCCCAGTTGTGACCACAAGGCCAGTGCCGCAGAGCTCCTGCTGCAGGGGACAGCGGGATGGAACCGCTTGGGAAGACAGGACCAGTGAGGCTCCCGGTACGGTTTCGGCTGCCATTCCCCTTGGTGGTGACTCACCACAGGACCAGTCACGCCATCCCAGTGCTGCAATTGCCCCATCTGCAGATTAGGGAAACTGAGGCACGGGGAAGTGGGGTGACTCAAGAGCTGTTGCACAGGAGATGCTGCTCGGATGCCGAGGCTTGGGCGTTCCCCATTGATCCTCCACAGCTAACTTAAGCAGAAATGAACATCGATATAAATATTTACTGACAAGCGAGCCCAGCCTCACCCTCTCCTCTTAGATGAAAGCTTTAAAGTAAACTCTCCTGGCTCTTTCATGTTTACATCTTGTTTATTTATTATACAGCAGATCACAATATTTCAACAGTTTGCATATAAAGAAAAGTAACATTTCAGAGGGCGAGAGACCTAACGTGCCCAAGCAGAGAAATGTTAATTAACAATATACACAGACAGGAACAGTGCACTTCCCAAAGCCGAGACTCATCTGTGTTCCCAGCTGGAAGAAAAAAATATATTAAAAAAACAGAAACATTATATATTACTGCTTTGTTTAATTTACAACTTGCTTTGCAGAAGCTGCACGTAAAAAGACTCATTTTCTTCTGAGTTCTCTCTTTTTTTTTTTTCCCCTCTACGAAAGTTTCAAGTATAGCAGAGACCTGGGCATTCATAGCTGGACTCACTGTCCTTTACACACTAAATTTAAAAAAAGCAGCATGGGGAAGGCAGCTGCAGCAGTACCTGGTGTCGTCCTGAAGGGAAGAACAAGACAAATGAAAGCAGACAAGAGCCAGGAGAGCCATTTTAGGCTCCCGAGTGGAAAACTGTGGGAATGGCCAGGACCAGACTGCCCAGCGGGGTCCTAAGCTGGCAACGGCAGCATCCCCACTCCCTGTGCAAGGTGACGCTGCACTGCCAACCCCTGCAAACCTTTACAGCCATGAGCCGCAGTCAGGTCCCACCCTCACCCCATCCAGCCTGGGCTTCTGGGTCAAGAGGTTTGTTTCAATGGCCACAACCGAGAAGACTGGCAACACACTTCCCAGCGCCCTGACCCACGCACCCAGCAGGTGCGGGTCTCCAGCCAAAACCTGGCTGGAGTCAGCCACCACAGTCCCTGGAGCCATGGGGGTGCCAAGATCAGAGAGGGAGGAAGGTTTTTAAGCTGATGCCAAATACAAGCCAGGAGCTCTGGGGACAGATCCCTACTGCACCAGCCCCCCCCATTCACTGGGTGCCTGGCTGGGGGGGACCCTCCAGGTGTGGGGAGCTGAGTGGTGGTGCCTGGGCAGGGGCTGGACACATTTCTTGCAGCTTTGCTCCCCATCTACATCCCAAAGCGGCCCTTCCCCACCACTCGGCTGGGCCCAGCTCTCACAGCGGGGGCAGGAGGAGAAAACTAGTTATCAACTACAAGCGAAGAGGGCTGGGCAGCCGGGCTGCTCCCCAGTGCCGTCCCCAGCCCGACGCTATTTACACTGTGAGCTGGCTCTGGGGACGAGTCCGGCCGTGGCCCGCCGCTCACATGTGCCGCTTCATGTGGAGGGCAAGGTGGTCGGAGCGGGAGAAAGCCCGCTCGCAGAGGTGGCACTGGAAGGGCCGGTGCCCCGTGTGCTTGCGGTAGTGGCGGGTCAGCTCATCGGAGCGGGCAAATTTCCAGCCACAGCCTTCCCAGGTGCAGTGGTAGGGCTTCTCGCCTGCAGAGGAGAGGGGGTGTCAGTGGGCTTGGTGGTCCCCGTCCTGCCTATGCCTTCACCCCGGTGCTCCCCTGCCCAGCACCCCCTTTTTGGGAGGGATCCCTGCCTACCACCCTTAGGAAAGGGGAGCCTCACTGGTACTCATCCCCTGCACATCTCTGCCTGACCCACCTTTCCTTTTGTCCCCTGTTTTCCTGCCCTTCCCCATGTGCTCCACTGTCCCATGTGCCCTGCATGGGGCTCGTCCTCTGGGCACCCCTGCCCCACTTCACACTGTGGGTGCTCCCCTGCCCGTCCCTGCTGTGAGGCCGCACCATGTGCCCTGTCCCAGCTCTGCCGGGGGGTCTCACCACACACCCCCACTCTCTCTTCCCCCTCCATGTGTCCCCAGACTCTACCCCTTCAGGCACCCCTGGGCCCCAAGGCCAGGTGTCACATGGGCGGTGTCGCTGTGTGCCTTGGTCCCCGTGTGCCCCTGCCCGACCCCACCACGGGGGCACTCCCGGGGGCACCTCCACTTGCACCCTGCCCCACGCAGGACCCCTCCATGCAGCCCCGTGCCGGCTGCGGGGGTGTCTCTGGGTGCCCCCACCACGGGGGGACCCTTCCATGCACCCCCGCCGCCCCTCCACCCCTCTGGGAACCACGGAGCGGGCTCACAGGTCTCACCGTGTGCCCCGCTCCCCCCACCCGTGACCCCTTGCGCAACCCCCCCCACGCGTGGCCGCTCTCCCCGGCGCCCCCTTACCCGTGTGGGTCCGCATGTGCGCCTTGAGGTGGGAGCTCTTGGTGTAGGTCTTGCCGCAGCCCGGGTATTCACAGTTGTGCGTGGCCGTCCGCTTGCGTGCCCACGAACGGCGACCACGCTTGGGCTTGCAGTCCTCGGGAGGGGCCCCGGCCGGGAAGTACTCCAGCACCGGGGAGTTGGGCGGCGTGACCAGCAGCCCGGGCAGCCCCGCCGGGCCCGGCCCCGGCCCCTTCAGGGGCTCCCTGAAAACACTGAAGTGTCCATGAAACTGCGGCGGCGGCGGCTGGGGGGCGAAGTGGGGAGCGTAGCGGTGCGGGCCCACGGCGTAGTGGGGCGGCAGGGCGGCCCGGAGGGGGGGGGCGGCGCCGGGGAGCGGGTCCCCCG